AGGATGCATTGCTTCATAATGAATACTCGGCGTAAATATGAAAAGTTGATGGCTAAAATAATGCGTCGTCACGCACTTTCTTGTCAGAGTTTGGAGGAAGAATCCGGTGATTCAGAAACATAGGCTTTTCTCCCAAACGTAGACTTTTCTCTCTCCCCGCTTTTCTCCCTCATCTACAGCCTGCGCCGCTACGATCCGTTTTCTTGACATGAACTCATTCATTCTCGTCAAAAACGGTTCAGCTTATAGTAAGACGTCAGTGGTTGTCCAGTATCCGACGGAACAAATGTGACCAGTTGTGGCATTCCTAACAACACAACGGCAGCTGTCCAGCACGGCAGCTTCTGCTCACCAACGCACTCCTTTCTCCGAAAAAGTGTCCTTTCCTGCTTTTGCGCTTTCTCTAGTTAAAACTGTATTTTTTCAGTTTTTTTGGTGCATTTATCTGTTGTTTGACATCTTGTAGTGTTTGACTAATAATGTCCTCTTGGTTGAATTTGGCCCTCTTCCGACTTAATTTTTGTCATTTCCTGGCTAATTGCTGTTCTCCCATGGATGAGTTACTCGCAGCATTATCTGAATTTCGTCCTTTTTCACTTTTTTGGCACTTTTCTTACTCAGCGTATAAATCTTGCTTACAGATTGAAGCAGGGCAGATCGGTTGTTTCCTTCTCTTGTGCTTGGCTGCAGTATTCTAGAATTTACAAGGTTTGTCTACTGAAACATTTTTTACAATAACTGGTCGGACAGGACGTGCTGTCGGGCTTCAAGTTACTACTGAGCGAGTGAGTCTTTATGCCTCTGCTTCGTTCGGAGATGGTGTTTGTATGTATGTGAAATTTATTCTGCGGATGTTTTTATTTTTTTTCCCGGTCTCTTCGCTTCCTTTCTTTGTGTGTGTGTGTGCCTTCGTAATGTGCTGAATCATAAACTGCAAGCGCTGCACTAATCACAGCAGTTTTCCGGATATTCGCAGTTTCTACACCAGTGAGTGGAGCTTTTTTTGCTTTTAGCACCGTGTAGTGCCACGGTGGAATGCTGTTAATCTGGGGTATTTGCTTTTTTCTGGCTCGACTGCTCAGATTAAAGCACAAAATTTATTGCTTCATTTGTCCGCATTGCATACTTTCTGCTGGTGGCGCATGTGAGGCGGGATGTTTGACGTAGTTGCCGCTCTTACGCAGGCGAGCGTAGCTTTATTTCATAGTGTCCCTCCGTGTTCCTGTTACACTCCACTTGCCATTAGCTCAATCCCTTATACAAACAGAATTGTTAGACGGATGAATCGATCCCTTTTTATCCACTCATTCACTCACTCACTCACACTCAATGGCTATTAATGAAATTTTTATTCGCCCTTCTGCTTCGCTCTGCTTTTTTTTGCGCTGAACATTATCATTATGTGCGCGCTGCGGCAGTTGTGCACGTCAAACGATTCATTGAAACACTCTCTGCAGAAATGCGCTGCTCCGCGATTTCGTTGTTCGCTCGTGATTTGTGTTATCATTTTGAACAGTCACACAGAACTGCTTAATACGAGACGACAGTTGGGATAGCTACCGGAAAGGTGATGCGCGTATGTAAAGCAGAGCGGGCATGAGCTCGGGGAAAGAGGCCTGTCTTGGCTGCACCCCAGCAACATCGGATTCTCTCGCAGATTTGCCGAGCGATATGAAAATGCATTTAAAAAGTTTTCTTGTTGTTTGCTACCTGAGGTAGGAGTTTTGTGCAGAAACGCTGTTGTTTTTAACAGACCGTTCGTATTCGCAGTAGAAGTAGTAATTAAGCCTCCTGAGATGCGGGAAGCGGCCGATGAATTGGCACTTTGTTATGCATTAATTCCTCTTTCGCTCCTTTCCTGAGCCTTCCGTTCTTCAATTCACTATCGTTTTGCTTGTTTACACTTTATTCCAACGGCACCCATACGGCATAATGGCTTCCGGGAAGAGACAACGGTCGCTGCCTGATTTTTGTGTGAAAGTTGACCATTAAAATTCCAAATACGAAACGCGTGACCCAGAAAAGTGGGACCTTTTATTTGATGCAACAAAAATCCAGGAACAGTGAAGACTTCGCAGAGTCCGAGATTGCACGAGAAATGCCAGTTCAGTGGGATAGTGAAACTGTAGAAAATTACAAGCAGATCAGCGGAGGCAGGTTTGTCGGCTGTGCTTTACTCCATTGGGTATGATGAGCAGAGACGTTATTGTGCGCATCTTTAAGCAGTGGAGCTTCTCTTTGTCCGATTTGAAAATATGCACTTTTCTCACTCGTCGTATGCTTCGCTCAGCTTGACGTCACTGGTTGTGACGGTTACGAACTATTACTCGCTGGCAAATTCGAAGATGTTTTTGCTTATTATTAGAAATGATGATGACAGGACACTATTAATTTATGAAAAGCTAAATTAGAAAAGGGATTATGCAAATGATAATTAATTGTAAATTGTGCAAAAGGTAGAAAAAGAAAGCAAGCTGATTTTTTTTTAATGAAAATATTGAAAATAGGACTGGTAAAGTTGTCTGAGGAAGTGTACGTGAAATTTTAGTGGAATGAGGCAGTGACTTTTTTTATCCACACTACCAGCTTGGGCGGTCTTGGTAATGGATGGTCAAAGTTTCAAAAAAATTGATTGTAAAAAAACTTTCACAGTTTGCACCGTAAAGGGTTACCACCGACTTGTCTGATTTCACGGCCGCTAAAATGTGCAGCTCCGGGAGGGCCGCACTGAATCCGGAGAATTTGCGAGGAGCAAATTTTTATCGAAAATAAAAGCAGTAGCACACCGGCAATTTTAAATTTCTTTATACGACAGGTAACGCAGCGGTCACTGACCGCCGCGATTGAGCGAAGACTGCCTGATGTATTCCCTTGTGCGGTGACGAGACCGGCCGTCGATCACATCGGCGAGCTCTTGTCGAGATCTCGAAAGAATCTGAATTGCATGGGCAAGATGAACCGCTCACTCGACTGAGGTGTGAGTGGTGTCCACGAGCTGGGAGACAGTCGCTCTGAATGTAGCAGTTGCATTCTAAAGGCAGAAGCTGCCCAGCAATTGATGGCCATTGTTTAGTAGCACCGTTGTGGGGTAGCCCCGAACATGTGCTTGTGTGTAATCTAAGTGTAGTTCAAGGGTTGCAGTCATGAGGAGCTCATGGTTTATATAATATCGAGAAAAGTCATCTTTTTAAAACTTTATCATTGTTTCACTGTTTGGAGAGCGAATGACTGTTCTTATCAGCTTTGACTCGGAAGTTGAAGTGCGGCGCGGAGGACACTCGCGCTGCGTGATGCAGTGTTGTTCGCGTGTGGATCGTTTTGGAGTAGTGTATCAGTATTGGGACGTCTCAGTCTGGGCACAGTTCCATTTGTTGCCAAATGTGCTTGGCACTGCTGCAACAATAGATACAATGGTTAAGGGATATTTGGTCACTGTGAACTGAGAATGAAATTGGACGAGCGCTAGCTAGCTAAGGTTCACTGGTCTTCTTCAGAGCGAATTCTTCGTCTGAGACGATGATTTGTATCGGAAATAACAGCTTTTTCGATTGACCGGCGGCCTTCCCGTGCTTGCGGCCGTTCTCGGCTTGAACTGCATCTGCGGGCTCTGCATCCAGACATCGGTTTCCCAGGCTCAGTCGCAGCAAGAGAAATAGATAGATGAATTCCAGTTTCCGCGAGAGTATTTTGACTTGAGCAGCGGCGACAGCAGCAGCAGCAAAAGCACTTAGAGCTATTCGCTGGTCGTCGAAAAAAATACGGTGTTGCCAATGAGCGAAAGCAAACATTCCATCACTTTTTGTGTTTATTTCGCACTAAGGACCTGCCAACCAGTCAGGTCTTCTTGTCTACCGGTCCATTCTCGTTCCGAAGCGAATTTTTAGGGATGACCCCGTGGGGCGTGACCAGTCCACACAATTAGCTGACCATGAAGACCTTTTTTAAAGTTTTATTTCTGAATCTTGCTGCTGGTAGTTTTTTCGCATTGTTACATAGCAACATTGGGCATCAGCAGCGACAGCAGCGTCGAAACAGCAGCTGCTGCTGCTGCAGCAGTAGTAGTAGCAGCAGTAGTGGTAGCAGGTGGTTCCGGATTTCCCCTTCTTGCAAAGCTCCTTCCTCGCCGTGCCATCAATAAGAAAAATGCAATTAGAGATGGTGTTGCTTTTCGACTTCGATCATAATATTTCATTAGTGATGAGATAGGTATCCGTTTGCTCAGTCATCTACCCTTACTTACATTCGCAGATTTATCATTCTGGCACCTGCTGATCGTCTGAGTGTTACTTGACTTTTAGCATAACACGTTTCGAGCTGCTTGCAAAGTGTTGGCTTGCACGAACGCATATGTGTCAAAGCACCTGCATCCCTTGCTTCCATCTCTCTCTGGGAAGCCTGGAAGACACGTGTCTCAGATCGTCCAGCAAGCAGCTCTCTCTGAAGGCGTTTTTCGCCCACCGTTAAAAGTTTCAATTAAAAAGAGATGAAAGTTTCGCTTTATTTTGCACATGTGCTTGGTCGAGGTCTAGCCTCGTCTCACACCCTTTATGGAATATAATCCAGCAAGAAGTTGCGTTGCTTTGTCTCGTTGCCTCCGTGCAGTATGTTTGCCTCAAATGGAAATTTTTCTGCACACCAGATTTAGGACAAGTGTACTGATTGTATGCGTGGGCATCACTCTGTGTCTGTCCGCAAGCTCCGCAAACAATCCGGGAATAGTACGCTCGCGGCATAGTACGCCCATGTACTGCTTGGCAGAGTTGTTGTTTACTGCCGCACAGACGACATTCCGGGAAAACATTTGTCTAAAAGGAATAGTATATTTTTTGACAGTTCGGTGCAGTGGGAAGTAGAAAATTCCCTGAGGATGAAGCAGTTGACGGCCGGCTTTCAAACAATTGGAAGGTTTCCATAACTGCACAATGCCAACTAGTTTGGGCTCTTAAGGTGGCGCAACCACAATTTGAGCGTAGCTTTCCACCAAGCACCTAAGAAAAAGCCAGGGAATCCCGGCTGCAGTTCAATTGAAACGGGACATCAGTATGGCTTGGCTGTTTTTGTGGCTTGTCTCTGTGGTAGTTAAACATCCCGATGAACGCCTGTGGCTGTCCCACACCTCGGTGCAAGAACTGAGTGCGCTTGCTTTGACGCGTCTGGAGTACCAGAATTATGACTCGCTTTTAAAAAGCAGAAAATGCATGTAGTATAAGCTGACCATCGGTATTGTGTGTCTGCTTGCCGTTTTCTGGTGAGAATAATCGTGCCCCTACTTCGTACCGATAAGGGAGGCTCGCTCCTCGCAGCTGCTAGTAGTCTGCTCTCCTTGCCACTGAAGGTGCCTTTAAGCTTATGAGACATAGAAAAAAATTCTGTAATAAAGGTAGTGGCGCAAAAGTATTTGTTTGGTGCGCCCACAGTGTTTTGGATTTTCTGAGGTGTTGAGCGCTCCATATTTGCTTGTTTTTTGAGCTTCGATGAG